AGCATTAGAAAGCTGAAGGGTGTTTATCCAGATGCGCCCCGTACAGCGTGAGTGGTAAGACCCTCTGCATTATAAAGCATTGCATGGGAGCTCTATGTATAGCTAGAGGTCTGTGAGCACTTCCATTGGTACCCTCTTGGAAGGGTATATGAAGCTTCCATTTTAATTTTGCTGAGGGTTGTAACTCTAGCAATATTAAAACCCTTCCAAGTAGGTGTGGTGTCTTTAACCCTCCTAATTTGTACTTTGCTGAGACAAATATCCCATATTTAGCACACATGCCCTGATATCCTCTCCCCACTCCTCAGCAAAGATTTAAAATGAACAGTACTGTAATGAGTCGTCTCTGACGTTCTTGCTCTTAGGAGATGCTACAGTATCCTTACAGAAATAGCATTGGTAGGTAAAACTGCAATTAGCAAAGCGAGTAGTGAACAAAGGACATTTCATGATGTGCTACCCTGCCTAAGTAATTCACCCAGGCTCCCGGTCATTAGCCTGAATTAGCCAGGTTCTACTATATTTTGCTTATTTGATAAAGGGCTGAATCCATCTTTTAAAATGGCGAATGGCTTCAGGTGCACATCAGGGTTTATCTAATAATCGCAGAGGTGAAAAACCTATCCACTTTGCTAGACAGTAACTTTTTTCCCTAAGGGTTGCCTTCTGTTCCTGCAGTCTGCCTCGTTTGACTCTGAACTAACCCTGTGAAGAGAACCAGTGGCAGTCAGACTTCAGCTGTCATTTTTTAGACGGTGGGGGAGGGGATCCTTTGCTGCACTTGACTATTGGGAAATTAATTAGGATACTAAACCCTCTTCAGGCTGGAACTGCAGGGAAAGAGAGCTCTTCGTTGGCTTTCCAGGACCAAGCTAACCCTACTTATATTTTTTTACCTGATCGCTTTCCTTGGTGCATTGAAGGATCCATAGTCACTGCTCTTTATAACTAGAGCCTACACGTTTCTTCCCCCCCATTCCTTCCCCCAGAAAAGAACCAGATCAAAATGGCTGTGATCCAAAGCTGAGAATCACTCCCTTTGCTATGGAAATGAGGGCTTAGTGAGCCTGTTCAGCCTGGGCTCATCGTAGAGAGAGGTTCCCGTTGAGAACAGGGCATTTGGGGTTGAGGGAAAGGGTGGCAAAGGTGTGCTTCTTGAGCAAAAAGATCTTAAATGAGTGAGGAGTGTGCTTTTATGCATTGCTAAAAAGGAGGCTAACTCCTAAAACCCTTCCTCATATGACTAAAATGAGGGAAATTCACCCTGGGGACTGGGGAGAAGGGAATTTTTCAGCAGTTGGTCATCAGATTTGTGAGCTGGAGAACTTGACTCTTTTTTTGGTGGGGTCTCGTTGTGGACCAGGTGAAATTTTTGTACAAGCTGTACACCGTAAACCTTACATTTTACTATCATGTCCCTGTTTTCAGTATTAAAGATGACAAATTGCAAAATTCCTGTCTATGGTGTGCTGAGATTGGGTAATTTGGGGTTACTTGCAGGAACACAGATTTAAGTATTGGCTTTACCTTTTCTAAAACATAAGATTTTTAATGTGTTGACCCACCATGGAGTGGGAAGAATGCTAAACAATGAACAGTGTTGCAAAGTCTTTCTGAAAACTTATACAAAGCCTGCCCTGCTCTCCTGTCTTACCTGGATGACTAATGTTTTACTTGCTCGTCAGGAAAAAATTACTCACCCCAGGTAAATGAGCAAGTAGATCGTTGCTGCAGAGCATTGTACCTGTGAGGTGTGTTATCAGGTGAGAAATAGTTGAGCTGGGCGTGCACACTTCCGGTTGTGTCTAGTTATTGCAACAGACGGTGTTTTTTGAGAGTAACCCTCTATCTTCTCCCCATCAACGGGTTTGGGTAATTCCTAAGTGCAATACTTGTATGTCCTGGCAAGTTGCGAAGTGACTGTCTGTAGAGAGAAGGAAGGTTCATCAAAATTAAAGCAGACGGTTGTAAAAATCTGGGAAGCACAGCTGCACACTGCAGTATTGCTCACCCCAAGCATTTCAAAATCATGAGATTGGCTTAAAAATGATACTTATAAAAATAAATCAGGGGAGTTTTATAGTTACCTTCTGGTTTCTGAGTCCCTAGACTTCATGTTTTAAGACTTTTCTGTGCAATCATGAGGGTTAGAAAGACTGGGGGCGGGAGCAATTGGAAAGCTGAAATCCTCATGTAATCACAGGACTCCAGGAGCTGAGGCTTTAAAAATACACATTGAGAGACTTGCAATAAAATTGTGAGAATTTGCAATACTTATATCGTATCTTTCATATACATTGTATACCAGAATGTTTTACAGCAAGTCATTGTCAGTTTAAGTGTTGAATAATAGCAAAGGGAAAAAAGAAATGAAGATCCTGAGCGCTCGTGTTTGGAGAAGAAGCTTTTGGGGGCAGGAATATTCTTGTTGAACATTTTACCTATTGTGAGTTATTGTCCATTTTTAAGGTGCAACATAAATAAGCCAGGGTAAAAGCAGGTGTCTTAATTGTGTATCTCTCCAAGTCGCTGGGATTGTGCAAATAACTGCTGATCTGGTTGACCACATGGCCTCCTAAAGGTAACGTTTTGTACTGAAACTCCCTTTGTTTGTACAGCTCCTAGCACAGTGGAGTTCTGGGCCATGACTAAGGCTCTACCACAGTACCAGGTAGGGGTCTTTTTAGAAGTGCTATTGATTAAATCTTTTAGATCTGATCATGTGAATTACTAGTTGGGTGAGAGACTGAATTTTTTACATGAAGCATCTTAACTGAGACCCAGACAACTTACTCGTACAATCCTTGGTCCTTCTTGGGGGCATTCATTCCAGCAGCTGTAAATGCTTGTGACGCTTGTGGTTTTGTCCTCACGTTGTCTGGCACAGACAGGCTAAGTGACTTGCTTGAGATCACACAGTGAGTCAGTGGCAAAACTGGGACTGGAACCAGGGTCTCCTGACTCAGTCACCTGCTCTGTACACTCCTTCCTGTTTGGGGCCATTTAAAATTCCCATGCCACTTCTCAGGCAGCAGGCTTGCCTTCCTGTTGTCTTGGCAGAATCCCACCTTGAATTATTACATACAGGTCTATTTAGAGTATCCCCCCCTGCCAGTTCAACTTGGGACAGCTTGCTCTTCCCTTCCTCTCTGAAAAAACTGCAGCATTGTTGGCAGAGTAGCTGTGGTATTTCATCCCACAGATGAGCGTATTTCAGTGATAGGTGATGGAATATCTGCCTAGTTTGTATATTCGTTTGTTTCTAATGTGCTCTGGACTCCTGCTGGATGAAAACTATTCTATATGCTAGGCTTCAACTGTTCCATTGAAGCTGCTGCACAGATCGTAACATTATCTGTCATGGTGCTGCTATGGCTTATGTATGTGAAAAATTATTCATGTTTGTGGGTTACTTGGATTTTTCATTCTGATTGTTCAACGTCTATGTCAGAGGCGTGTGGAGCGTGAGATAAGGCCCCCCCCCCTTTTTTTTTCTACGCATACTGCATATTTTAACAAATGTTTGGATATTAGTTGATTAATTTTTGGTTATTTATTTGTAAATATTGAGGAGGCATAATCCCATCTAATAATACCAATCCTTACTTTTTCTGTAGTGCTTCTTTTCTCTAGATCTCAACTTCACCAGTTGTCCACGAAATTTTATTTTTAAAATGACAGCTGCTTTTCTTTTAAGCTACAGGCGTTTGTAATAAAGTGCTAACTGTGGCTCTTCTGTAGTTTAAAAACTAGCTAATTTATTTTGGGAAATTTAACGAACCCCTGATGAAAACAGCCTTACCCCCTCCTGTACACGCGTAGGTGAGACCGTGTGTGCTGTCTTAAACAATCATTTAGGTTTCCTGGCTGAATTGGAGAGACTTGAAAATAGGTGACTCTATCCATGATCTAGTGGTTTGGGTTATGTTATCTGATGGAGAAGAGACTCTAGGAAGCTGAGCTGTATATATGCCTGCGAAAGGCTAACTATTTGGGCAATTTCATTATGTTCTTGATAGACTGCTATATACTGAATAGCTGCTTGATGCTAGCACAACAAAAATAATGCTAGTGAGAAATACTTAAAAAACAAAAAAAGTCTGGACTGGACAGCTCAAGAGACTTGGAATAATATATAGAGCTTTTTGCCTCTAGGTCGCTGGTTTGAACTCAGTTAAGGTCATCAGTGGCTGCAAGTCATTACCATCCGACAGCTGTTTGGCCTGTGTGAAAGCAGTTGGTGGCCTCTGTCCTATTCCTAGATAGACAGACAGAGATCTACATTGCAGAAATCGCCACAGTAATTGGGACAAGTATTATTGGTCTCTGAAAGGAAACCCATGAGTGCCTGGGCGTGGAGGCTGAGCTCCGGCCTTATTCCGGCAATGTGTGGCACTTTAGTAGAAGCTTCTGCTCACTGCTTTGGCTTTGCCGCGTCGGGTGTCTCTCTGAACTAGTGGCTTCCTTCTCCAGTGCTGTCAGTCCAGCAGATTTAACCAGTGCTGCCATTTCACTTTACATTTATGGTCTGCATAATCTGTAGATTTTTAGATTTGGGGCAGGTCTGCTGTGCAGATGTCCTGCTCCAGAGTCCTGGTGCTCAGTGTTCGACGTTGTCACCACAGGCATGGGGATTTTGCAGGAAAGAGACAAATTGCAGAGAATTTCTCATATTTATGTGGAAACTTGAGGTACTTCACTGAGTAATTGAGTTTTTCTATTAAGAGTGATATAAATTTTCTTTTAATTGTGCGATGACTTGGCCAATTCTAGTGAGAGCTTTACTCCAGATGTACAGACCATTAACTTTTTAGCTCCCAGACTTTTTACAAATAAGCCGTTCTTAAGCCTGTCTTGCAGTGTACTTGCGTGCAGAGTTCTGGAAGTTAAAATGGGATATGTGTTTTGAGTAACCTTTCATAATTTTTGCTTTCAGGCAGACTATGCACACATAAGCACACCCACTGTGGTGTGCAAAAAGCATTTCATCAGTTTATCACTTCACTGCAGGAATAATCAGAACCAATATTTTCTTAACAAGTAGCTTTGTGAACTGGAGCAGCATTTTCCCAGTCCTGGTGTGTAACCATGGACCTATGGAGAGGCAAACTTAGAGCAGGACTCTGCTTTGTGTTGCTCAGAGATTGGGCATTGCAGAAGTCATTTTCACATCTCTAAAGGCAAGAAGGTACGTGGAGGTTCCTCACTTACCTGTGAACTGATAAATTGTGGAGGAGAAAATCTCCTACAATGGGAGGACTCCTTTGATCCCTTCTGAAACTTACCGAAAAACATCAATCTGGAAGTTGGAAATGCTAATGGAAAATATACTGCCACTCACTCCCCTTGAGACCCAGTGTTCCTATGAAGTGTTACCCCGGTGTGGTCTATGCAGAGGCAGGGGGCTGGAATTTTCCATGCCAGTCAACTTCCCTCTATTCTAACTCAAGACAATTAGTTTCTTAGGCAGAGGAGGAGCAAAGCAAACAAGCTAACAAAGTTAATTCAAGTCATTAGCTTGCTTCCCTTCTTCCTGCTTAGGAAACAAACTTATTTTCAGTAAAATTTTTGAGTTAGCTAGCTTACTTTATACTAACTTGTGAAACCATTTCTGTTTCTGAGAGTTTGTGTTTTATCTACATTTCCTAGAAAGTAAATAAATTAATCAAAAACAAAATACATTTCTCATCCCATGCCCCTAGACAATTTTTAAATTTGTAGAAACTTACCTGAAAAACCCATTGAGTTGGGTGCTTTTTTACTGGAATAAAAGGAATATAAACACAATAGGGAAAATGCCATTCTTTGTGGAAAATTAGTCTTACCATTTTTGTTGTAAAATACAATGTTGGTTAAAAAAATCCAATTCTGTTCTGCTTGGTACAAGTCCATGTAATTCTGACGTCTTATTAAAAAATAGAACTTTCCTTTTAAAACCAGTTGTTACTAGCACTGTTTGAACTGTAGAGTGGCCAGGATCTGAAACTGGGCATCTGTATGAGTAGGAGTAATGAATGGAAGCTGCTGCGTCTCTTGCAATACCGGGTACTTGGCTGTCTCTTTGAGTTCACTAGCATACGTAGGCAGGTGGGTTCTAGAAAAACCGACCAGACAACGTGCACTTAACTGGCCAAGTTTTTCTGAAACTCCTGTTCTCTTTCTCCGCAGACACAATGAGGCGAGTGGTACGACAGAGCAAATTTCGGCATGTGTTTGGGCAAGCAGTGAAAAATGACCAGTGTTATGACGACATCCGGGTTTCCCGTGTTACCTGGGATAGTTCCTTTTGTGTAGTAAACCCCAAATTTGTTGCAATAATCATAGAAGCTAGTGGTGGTGGAGCGTTCCTCGTGCTGCCCTTGCACAAGGTAGGTGCTTTTGAAAGTTTCTCGTTCTTGCCTCCATAGAGTGAAGCTATCATCTCAACATTATTTATGAACCAGACTGAGCCTGGGAAGTCTTACTTCAGAGCTGTTTTTTGGAATGACAAATGCCAGTTTCTGATGCCATTAGATGGAATCTTGCATGCCTCAGTAATCATTCCAATGCTTCCTTTAAATGAAACACAGTAAATAAAAATGGTTTGCTTGACTAATTTGGACCAGCTCTGTATGAAAAAAGTGCATGATTAGAATGATGTGCTACCACAAAGAAATTGTTTGCTATAGTGATGGTCCATCCTTTTACCATCAGGATTTTAGCTTTCCAAGATACCCAGGTTTCAGAGTAGCAGCCGTGTTAGTCTGTATCCGCAAAAAGAACAGGAGTACTTGTGGCACCTTAGAGACTAACATTTATTTGAGCATAAGCTTTCGTGGGCTACAGCCCACTTCTTCGGCTGCATAGAATGGAACATATATTGAGGAGATATATATATACACATACAAAGAGCATGAAAAGGTGGGAGTTGATACCCAGGTATCTCCTAGGTCTCAGTGCATTAATTACTTTCTGCATTTGACTAGCAACAGCTAGGTGGCAAAATAAAGAATGAAAACTGAAAAAAGAGGTTGCTGATTCTTAAAGACCCTGTTGCCTAGAGGTTTTTGAGCATGTGTGTGGCATGGCCATGGCTGGCCCGGGTGAGGTAAGTTGGGCTGCGGGGCTAAAAATTGCTGTGTAGACAATCAGACTTGGGCTGGAGCCCAAGCTCTGGGACCTTTCACCCTTGTAGGGTTCCACAGCCCAGGTTCCAGCCCGAGCCTGAACGTCTACACAACACTTGTTCAGTCCAGAGCCCGAGCACTGCGAGCCCAAACGAGTTGACCCAGGCCAGTCACTGTTTCTGTTTTTAAATCCATGTATAGATGTACCCTAAGAATCAGATGACCTCTTCCTGTTCAATCTGCTGTTTGGCTCTTTAGGATAGTCTTTCACTCTAGGCTCTACCTGTTCAATGCTGGTATAATACCAGAATAACCCAAGTGAGATAACAGCTCCTGCCACATCTTCAGCCATTCTCTGAGATCACATGAATGATTCCCTGAGCAGACTGCTACTGCACTTCAGCCAGAGCCCTGTTATCGTCAGCAGCTGGAGTATGATAGCAGGGAGACATGCCACAAATCTCTGACAGGTAGATATTTTAAGATTCTGTACAAGCAAGAGGCAGCTAAAACTGATAAATAACCTTACAGGGAAGCTGTGTTAGATGGCCACCTCTGGTATTTCTGTAACCTCATAAATATACGCACTCACTGTACAAAACCTATTGTCCCAAAGGCAAATACAGAATGCAGGATAACTGCTTAGATGGAAGGACATGGGGAGAGACTGTTGGAAGAGATCAGTGCTGGAAGGCTTCATGACAGTCTTTGCAACTATGGCATAAAACATATAAAGCAGTAGGGTGGTGTCTCATAGATACAGCAAATGAAAATAAGGGTATGTCGTCTATACGTAAAGCGCTGCAGTGGCGCAGCTGTGCCGCTGCAGCGCATCTGGTGAAGACAGTCTATGCCGACAGGAGAGAGCTCTCCCATTGGCATAAAAAGCACCTCTGCGAGCGGCAGAAGCAGCTCTCCTGCCAACATAGCACTGTGCACACGAGCACTTCTTCATGTCGCTTGTGCCGCTCAGGGGGTGGAATATTCACATCCGTGAGCGACATAAGTTTTGCTGACGTAGGCTGTAGTGTAGACATAGCCTTAGTCCTTACACACCATCACCCCAAGGTATCTCTGCAGTGGGTCACAAAATACCTTGGTTTTCTGTGCTGGAAAGAAGTATTCAAAGCTCCCCTTTTGATGATGGACTTTTATCAGTCAGTTGGTAAGTCTTTCATAATTTCAGTTACAAATCCTTTAAATGAGCTTATCAGCTTGATCACTTCATGTGCTCTCTGTTTAAAAAAACACCACCACCTAAACCCCTGAATACAGCGCCATTGACTCTTGTTTCAGAGCACTAGTTTCTCTTCAAAAGAGGACTGTCATTTTGGAAGAGGGCTAAGATTATGACATAACAAGAGAATATATTTGTCCAGGATGATTGGGGGGAAACAGAAAAAAGAATAGCCCAGTCTGCAAAAGTGCGTATGTGGGATCTCTCTCCAAAACTGTAACTCTGGCTTCATGGAAACATTAGTTAGGAGCATAGGCATGGCCTTATCAGCTCAGACCAGTGGTCCATCTAGTCAGGTATCACATCTGACACTTAACTGAACCTGATGTATTCCTCTGCTTGATTGGGGAATGACCTACCAGGCGAGAAGTATCTTCCTAACCAAGCAGTTAACGGTTGGCATAATCCATGAAGCAGGAGGGTTTATAGCCTTTCTCATATATATCTCCCCACTAGGCCAGTGGTCCCCAAACTTTTCAGGTTCATGCCCCCCCCCTTACTCCTATCTGTGTCCCCCTCCCTCCTGGAGTTGGGGCAGTGAGCAGGGCTGCAGCTGGGTGGTGGGGTGGGGACAGGGACAGGAGTAAGCGGGCTTAGGCTGGGGCCATAGTTGGGGGTGGGGCTGGCGGGGAGGACCCCGAGCGTGGGACAGAGCTGGGTGGCGCTTCCTCCCTACCCCCCATAGGAGCTGGCTTGGGGCCAGCCACGCCCCGTCCCCCCAAATGTTCCTCCATGTCCCCCTAGGCGGGCGTGCCCCACAGTTTGAGGACGTCTGCACTAGGCTCAGTGATATCTTGAGGCAATGCGTTCCATAAGTTAATTGTGTTGCATATTTCCTTACTCTTCAAAATTTCTTTCAGTTTCATGGAATGTTCCCTTGTTCTTGTTTTAGGAGTGCCGTTTTTTACTTGTTTGTAACTCATTCTTTTATATTCCTTTCATCATGACCGCTCTTGCACTTCTCCTGTCTCAGCTAAACACTTCCAATGTCTTCAGTCTCTTCCTATCAAAGTCTTGCCCATCTCTGGATCACTCTTTTGAGATAGGGTGACCAGAATTAAGCACAGTGTTCACGTGAAGTGTGTATCATACCATTGATTTACATATTCACATTATAATATTTTCACTATTCTCTTCCATTCCTTAAACATCAGAACATTTTATTTTCTGATTGCCACCATTCACTGAGCAGAGGTTTTCACTGAGCTGTCCGCAAATGACTTCAACTAACATCCTTGCCGTTGTGTTCACTTTCAAAAGGGCTGATTTAAATTTTTTGTGTTTTGAGGATTTCCATAAAACTACACTCTGTGCAATCCTGAGAGACCAGGGAGGTGCCAGAGCCAGTAGAGAGAGAACCTCGTTCTCAGCTTAATTGCAACGTAACTATTAAATTCCTCACTTAGTGTGTGGGTCTCTGCAAAGTACTTTTAATGTGGTTTGACCTATTATGCAGGGTTAGACCAAACCCATGTTATAAAAAGTCTGTATAATCTTGAAAGTAAACAGAGCTTTTTTCCCCTCAAATTTGTGTTTTCCTTTACGTTTTCTAAGTTTTCAATAAATTTTATTTTATTTTATTTTTATTTATTTATTTTGTGGTAACAGGTTTTTGGTTCTATTCAAGTGGCTATCCACAGTCTTACATGGACATTTGACATAATATACAGTGCAAAGGCTAAAGAATGTTAAATGTTGAGGTGAGATGGCTGACTTATCAATTGGATAAACATTATCAGGGACCTTATTTATCAAGGCATCTGTCATGCCCTAGAATATCCCTCCTTTTTAAAAGGAAATGAAACATTTATTTCTTCTCCACAGCATCTCTACTTCTTGCTGTCAGTTGATAAGCAAAGCTTGTGTAAAATAACAAATCTTTGATTTGTGGCTTCTGCCATGGAGCATTATTTTTCTCTGATTCTGCAGAAGTCTGACTGGTTCAGGAGCAAACAGGTTTGAGTCCCAGCACCCGTGGAACATCTTACTAGCTTGGAGCAAACATGCCTCCCCCACCTTCTCGTGTATGGAAGGCCCACATTGCTGATGCCAAGCTGACTCATCTAGGCCATGCTGGGAGAGCGTAGCTACGCCAACACAATGCGGAAAGCACCCAGAGGCTCAGATCCAGCATATTTGCAGCCTGCTACATTCAAAGGGGTGCACGGACCTTTCTGCTTACACCAGCCTCTCTAAACCCTGGACCGTGATGGCTGCAGCCAGTATGGTGGTCTTTCTACCTGGCTTTGATGTGTCCTTGCCCAGTCGGGTATTGAGAATGGGTCTGTACTGCCGAAATCGAGATGTTCAAACTCCCAGTTCAGTTCTGATACTCTGAGTTAGTTTGTCACCATGAGAGAAGGTTTTCTGGGGTAGCTTGTATGTCTGTTTGCTTCGTTACCAGCATCAGAACTATTAATTGCAGATCTCCACCAGCACAGCTAAACCAAACGCCTGCCCTGCAGCTCTTTAGAATCGTGTCACTAGTTTGGCAAGTTCTTCACAGATTTTTCGGCAGTTCTTAGCTTTGCACATCCCTTTCACATGCAATGTGTGGAATATATACAGATTAATTACCTAAATACACTACACTCAAATTTTTGGTTAAAGCCAGGGCTGCCCGGGGGGCGGGGGGGGGGGGCAAGTGGGGCAATTTGTCCCGGGCCCCCCATGAGAATATAGTATTCTATAGTATTGCAACTTTTTTTTATGGAAGGGGCCCCCAAAATTGCTTTGCCCCAGGCCCCCTGAATCCTCTGGGCAGCCCTGGTTAAAGCACTTTGGTAAACAAATCTACAATTGCTTATGAGTTTAAAACCTTATCATTGATGTTCTGTAAGCAGAGTATCCTATAAAGTGCTTGAATTGCAGCAGTTTTATTTGTGTGGAGCACATTTTAATGCATTCAGGGCCAAAACCAGATCCCAGCACCGAGCCAGACCACGAGTGGGAGCATGAAGAGGAGTCAGCGGTTGAAGTAGCCTACATGGGATGGTGACATGCCCTTCACTGGGGGGGAATGGGA